AAAATATATTTGATTTCTTATCGTTCATTATTGCTTTCGTATTGTGACGTCTGATCGTCTTTATAATAATGATTTAGAGGACATTACGTCAGAATTTGATTCTGAATCAACTTGCTCCTTATTACATTTGCAAGTCCTTCTTAAGAATAATTATTCAAGGTCTTAAAGACTATCATCGACATGCTTAATCATTATATATCCAACCACTATGACACTAATGACACTCTCTGTCAATGTCCTTGCAACCCAATTTTCATCCGGTAATCGTAATAATCATATAATTAATTTTTGACCAAAACACTTTATTTATTTATTTTCTTTAATAAAAAAAAAAAACTGAAACGTTAATATATTTTAAATTAGCCGCGAAATAAAAAATAATAATTTAATATAAATTGAAGTGAATAAAATTATTATAAAATTTATAATAATAATTATAAAATTTATAATTTTAATTACAAAATTTTATGTTATGTAAAAAATAATTAAATAATTTAACAATTATTTTTTTGGGAATAATTTTTGTTTCAAATCAATAGATTTAAGAGAGAATGGAAATTTTTATCCGTCGACGCAAATATTTGTGTATGAAAGTTGAGGGAAAATTTTTTTTTTTTTTTTAAATAAATATATGCATATGTGGGAAGTGCGAAAAAATTGGGAATGTTATTATGCAAAAGAAGTGTGCGTCTTTTTGACAAACAAAAAAAAAAAAAAAAAAAAAAAAGAAAAAAAAACAGGAGACGAGTAGTGTGACAACATAACATTTCGCGGTAAACCACATACTTTCATTTTCAACTTTGATGATGAGAGAAAATGACAAGTTACTTAAGAAAAATAATAAATTTTGTTTTTTGATTATTTTAATTTTACTTTATTTATTTTTTTTATTAATTTTTTATTATTTTAAATTTATTTTAAGCTATTTTTTTATTTTTAATTACTTTTTAATAATTTTTTTTATTATTTTTGGCTAATTTTTAATTAATTTTTATTATTTTTAACTGCTTTTTATTTTTAGGTATTTTTTAATTTATTTTTTATTTTTTTAAACTATTTTTTATTATTTTTAATTTATTTTTAATTATTTTAATTTATTTTTAATAAATTTTTTTATATCTATAAACTATTTTTTATTTTTTTATTTATTTTTAATTATTTTTTTTTTATTTTTAATTAATTTTTTATTATTTTTAATAAATTTTTAATTATTTTTAACTAATTTATAACTATTTTAAACTAATTTTTAATTAATTCTTTATCATTTTTAGTTTTTTTTTATTTTTAATTACTTTTTAATAATTTTTTTATTATTTTTGTCTAATTTTTAATTAATTTTTATTATTTTTAACTGCTTTTTTTATTTTTAAGTATTTTTTAATTAATTTTTTATTTTTTAAACTATTTTTTATTATTTTTAATTTATTTTTTATTATTTTAATTTATTTTTAATAAATTTTTTTATATTTTTAAATTATTTTTTATTATTTTTTTATTTATTTTTAATTATTTTTTTTTATTTTTAATTAATTTTTTATTATTTTTAACTAATTTTTAACTATTTTAAACTATAATTAAATTATAATTAATTCTTTTTCATTTTTAGTTATTTTTTTATTTTTAATTGTTTTTTAATTAATTTTTAGTTACTTTTAATTAATTTTTTCATTATTTTTAACAATTTTTTTTTATTATTTTTAATTATTTGTTTATTATTTGAGTAAATAAATTTTTCTTAATGAAATTAAGAAAATAAAAAAAAAGTGCGTCACAAAAAAATTAACATATCAAACCAAATAAACAAAAAATAAAATTACATAATATATTTTTAGATGTTATCGAAATTTTAATATATATAAAAGTCAATATAAAATGCGGAATATTTTAAATTAAAAAAAATTCTCATTGTTGATTTTGCATTATAATGAATTGAAACAAATGTGTTGTTTTTCGATTTTTGGGGAAGAAAAATATTTTTTCAAAAAAAAAAAAAAAAAAAATTTGGCTCATTTATTTTACTTACGTCATTATATCAAGTGCTCAACGTAAATAATAAATAAAATATCACAATACATTGTACGCCATTGTTTAATATGACGCACTCTACTATACATAATTATAAGTTCAAATATTTTATATATATATATATATAAAATAGAATTATAACAATAGTTTTTGAAAATCATTCATGCAGGTGAAATAATTTCCCTGCACCTCCCACCTTTTTTTTTCTCATTAAATGTTGAGTAACTTTTATAGAAAAAAAAAAAAATTAGTTTTTTTTTCTGACTTTGCATTTTTTTGTATTATTATATCGACAAAGTTCAATAGAAATTTTTCATTGTTCGATGCCAATTTTCTGTCATGATTTGAGTCACGTTTTGAGAAAATATTGTATATATATATATATTGAAAATATATACATAAATAAAATAATGCGATAAAATGAAGAAAGGGAACAGTCGAACGTTGACCTTTTTCAATCATTGAGCGTATAGATTGTGACCCATGTGAGAGGCAAATTCGCGAACAAAGCAATAATATTGCACCAAGGAAATGGTATTTATTGTAAATTCTGCGATATCGAAAAAAAATTTATATACATATATATTTTTTTTTTGCTATTTCTTTTGTTATCAGAGCAAACGCGTTGTGTGTCATGTCGTTTCGTTACGCCATACTGTAACATGATTTTTATGTTGGTAAAATTGCAGCTAAAATGGGCGGCATTAACCTCGTCGTGCGAAACACGTTTCACAGAAGCTGCAAGTGTCCCTCTCTCAGAATATGTGACGCAATCGAATTTTTTTTTTTTTTTTTCCCCCTATACACTCTAAAAACAACAGTGTGGTAAAACAATTGCATTCTCTTTTTTTTGAATTTTTGAGATGGAAATTTTTTTTATAAAAATTTATAAAAATAATTTTATAAAAAAATTATTATAAAATTATAAAAATAAATATTAATTTTTTAATTAATTTTCTACATTCAAAAAAAAAATGTTATTAATACTAAATAATAGAATATAAAGATATTTGATTGCTTTTGACACGTGGTAATTAATTCGTGAGAGAGGAAACGAGCCACTTCTTTGATGAGATCTCACCGGAAGTAAAAAAATCGTCAGTGGTCTTCTCTGGTGCCACGCGCATACTATACATATACATACATACTTCCTTTACATGCAACCTTCACTTACGCTCATACGACCTTGTTGAATTCAATTTATGGTGCGAGAATTTCTAATCACGAGATATGTTTTACTAAATTTTTTTTTTTTTTTTTGCTTTTCAATGATGAAAAATATAAATTATAGAAAATTTTTAATCTTTTTTTTGTTTTTAATTTTTTAATTTTAATAATTGTTAATTAATTGAATTTTCCTTATTAATAATTAATTGATAATAATAATAATTAATAATTTTTAATAAGTTATTAAATATTAATAATTACCTATGTTAATTAATATTAATAAATATTATTACTAATTATATTAATTAATATTAATTAATATTAATTAATAATAATTAATAATAATTATAATTAATTATAAATTCTAATGAATTTTGATTGTATAAAATTATAAATTTTCTAAATATCATAAAATATTATAAAACTTTTTTTTTTGATGTAAAAGTCAGTAAAAAAATATTTTAGTGTAAATAGTGAAATTATTTTCTTGTTGAAATAATTGTAACAAAATCTGCACTTAATTTGAACTTTGTACATTGAGTCATTCAAGTGGAATTCTCTTTACAAAGAAATTGACATCGAAAAACAACGTTCGATAAAAGGTGTTTGCTCCAGCTTTGTGAATATGAAACTTAAACGCACACATATATACAAAACACAAAAAAAAAAAACCACCGTGATCAATAGTTCCTTCTCCTTTCAGTTTAAGGAAAAATTATATTATTTTTAATGTTAATTACCGTTTATTCTAACTTTTATTAATTTTCCATTATTTTTTTATTTAATTTTAATTTATTTATTTAATTATTTATTTAATTATTAGTTTTTATTTTTCCTATTATTTAGTTTTATTTTTTTTTTACTTATAATTTAATTGTTATTTATTGTGCAAAATGGGATTTACTTTTTTTTTGCAATTATTTATTTGTAATTGCATTCGTTTTTATTGTGTTATTAATTTTTATTGTTTCGGAGAAAAAATCTTCGGCTTTTTTATAGTATTATTATTTGTTAATTATTATTATAATTTTTAATTGTCCGAATAAAATTTTTATTTAATTAGCAAAAATTTTTTTTAGTTTTTTTAGTTAATTGTTTGACTATACTATATTTTAATTAATTATTATTAATAATAATAAAAGTAAAATTTTAAAAATCGACCTTTCAAAAAATAAAAATTAGTTCAATTTTTATTCATTAAATTGGGGATTAAATAATAAATGTAGAAGTTTTTTTAAAATAATTATAATGTGAAAAAAGTGCTTTACACTTAATTAAGCGAGTCACTGATTCGCCGAGCCTCATAAACTTTAAGTACACATTAATCTTTAAAAAAAAAAAAATGTAATATCGTAAATTTTGATTTTAATCATTCCCTTATTGGGAATAAATAAAAAGATGAAAAAAATTATTATATATAAAAAAAACTCGTCATCTTCAATCACAAAAGTCGATAACTTATGATGTCATTTTGCGCAGGTTGAATGCAAGTAAAGTCATTTGTCACAATTACAATAATATTAATCGAATTCATTTGCACAAATTGATTAAACCACTAATAACTCAAATAACATTAACCACTTTAATTAATTGAAAGGAGAATTATTTTTTTCTGCTTTTTTTTTTTTTGTTAATTTTTTAATTAAAATTTTTTTTTTCTAATTTATAAATTTTTTTTTGTTAATATTGCAAAATAATTTTTGAATATAATTTTATAAAAATATTTTAAAAATATTTATTTATTGTATTAAAATTATATTTAAAAATTATATTTTATTTTAATTAAATAATTGGGGGGGGGAACTCACCTGTGTAAAATCAGCTCCTATGAAGGCCTGCTCCATGCCAATCCACACAGTGATGGGAATTAAAAGTTGTTGATATGGTTTTTTTAATTGATAAGCTGTTGCAGACAATAGTTGAATTCCACTTATCTCTTGACTGTCAGCCCTTCGTTGTTTCTCCCCGTACCTGAAAATTTTTCAATTTATCATTATTATTATTATTATTATTATTATTATTATTATTATTATTTTTTAATATTTATGATTTTTATTATTTTTCCTATTATTATAATAATTATTATTATTTATCGTAATAATAATAATTATTTATTATTATTTATTTATTGATTTATGTATTTATTTATGTATTTATTTATTTATTTATTTATTTATTTATTTATGTATTTATTTATGTATTTATTTATTTAGTTATTTATTTATTTATTCATTTATTTATTTATTTATTATGATCAAAAATTTTCTCAATTTCATTTTTTCAGGTAAAATTTGAAAAAAACAAATTTTTTCCATTATTTAATTTCATATATTATAAATATATGGAAAATAGTTGTTATCGATATATATATATACCGGTAAATTAATATCTTTATTACCTCGCAATATGCAATTGATGTAATGGATGAAAAAAAAAAAAAAAAAAATGTTGTAAGCACTTATTTTTCAATTACAATTTTTCTAGCACGAGTTGCATCACATTTATACCAGGAATGTACATGTGTATATGTGTTTATATTTATATGTATATATGTATATTGGGAACATAGCAATTTTTTTATAGTACATTTGCCCGGATATTCCGTGCTATCTACTACTATTAGATACTTGCTTATTCGTTATTCGAATAAGCCACGCGGAAATAAAAATTGCGCAATTAACAAATTTGCACTTTTGTCTATATATTACTATATATATCTGTATAGACTTTTTTCATTCACTTGTGTACCGATCATTAATTCATTCATTATTTCCCATTCCATTTTACCATATAACGTACCGTATTTTTTTTTTTTTTTTTTAATTTTTTTTTTTACTACGTCAATCTTTATTTAAATCTTTTGCCATGATCGCAAAACAATTATAACAAAATTTATCACAAAATTGTTATGTAATTTTTATTTTTTATTTTTAAGGAAATTTTTTTTATTCTCATATTTATTTTGTTTAAAAAAAATTTTGCTAATTATGGTAATTTTAATTATTATTAATAATTAATTAATTAATTAATTTTTTCAATTAATTATTATTATAATTCAATTAATAATTAATTAATTATTTTAACTTCTGACAATTTTTGTTTTATATTTGTTTTTTTTTTTTAATTAATTTTTTCAATTATTATTAATTAGTGACTTATTTATTTTTTTAATCCCTTTGTTTGAGGAAAGTTACAGTTTATAAAAAAAATTATAATTTTAAAAATAGAAAAATAAGTTGAAAAATATAAAGTGAAATGGAATGAAATAAAAAATAAAAATGATGAAATAATAATAAAATAAGAATGAAAATAAGAACATGAGCGAAATTAATAGAAAATATCGAAATTTAAAAGTAAATAACTTTCTTCAATCGGAGATTGGTTCTGTGAGAAAAATCCGTTAAAACTCGTCGAGGATATTACGTTCGAGTTTTTTTTTTTTTTTTTTTTTTTCTTTCTTCTACTTCTACTTCTTATAATTTAGGAAAAATGATACAAAATTTTCCAAGCGATTTAAGCGGCAAATGATTTTATCGTTTGGCTATTCACTCTTCAAGAAAATAATACATAATCTTCATATATTTGCTACTAAACGCAATTTAAAATTATATTTTTATTTTATTTTTTATTTTACAAAAAAAAATTTAAATAAATAATTTTTGAAAAATTATTTACATATTTTTTGAAAATTTATAAAAAGGAATTTTTTTTATTTAAGTTCTTTTTTTTATTATTATTATTTTTTACACTCGAAAGTTAAAACCGTGAATTTTACTGTTTGATTTATATTGCGCTTCGTGAACTTTTTCAAGGGTCTCTGAACCCACCCGCCAAACAACTGTGGGATTATTTATCAAAGTCTTCAATCTATGACACCGAGAGAGAGTCCATTAGCAAAATAAAAAAAATTGAAAAAAAAAACTATGACAAATTTAGTGAATTAAAAAAAAAAAAAAAATCACTTCGTTGCTCATGTATGTCGACCAATGGGGGAATCTTGACAAGTAAACCAGACAGCATTCCAAAGAACACGTTTTGCGTTTCAATTTCTGAATCTGGGCCTGAATCTTTGCCGCACTTTGAATTCCGACGAAAGTTTAAGAAAAGCCGCAATTATACGAAATGAAATAGAGAAAAATTTATTTTAATTACTTTCATTATTTTAGAAAAAAAGAAAAACACAAAAGGAAAATTCATTAATATTTTTTTTTCTTATCGAGATATAACAATAATTAAATATGTTGATTTTCAATTAATTAATTATTTATTAATTTTATTATTAATTATTAATTATTTATTATATTATTCACGGAAAAAAAAATATTTACCTGAGACAGCGAAAGATTTAACTGAAACAAATAAAACTTTTGCTACTATAGTGAAATGTTTCGCTGTTCCAGGTAAATCTTTTTTTCCGTGTTAATTATTAATATTAGTACAAATTATTATTAATTATTACTTTTTTAAAATTATTATTTATTATTATTAATTTTTTAAAATTATTATTAATTATTATTAATTTTTATTAATTATTGTTAATTATTATTAATTATATTATTAAGAGATTCAGAATCGATAGCTGATTGATTAAAAATGTGTATATTCATAATTTGTATTTCTCCTGTCTCATCACTGTCTAATGTTGGTTGGAAAAAAAAAAAATTTCCTTGAAGGGAAGGTCTTCAACTTTATCGCGACCTTTATGAATTGATACCGTGCAAGTATATTGCATTCTCTCGCATTCGCGATTATAAAAAAACGAACATGCAATAATATACATATATATATAAACATTTTTCTATAACTATCTATTATTAAACCAAAATTTCCTCTTCCGCATCTGATTACGAAAAATCAAAATATAATTATGATTTTATCAAATTAATCCCCAACACGAACTTCCGATTGCTTTCCGTTTTCAGAAAATGTTTTTCTTTATAATATACTATATTTTTTACATTCATGATGTAATCTATAAAAATTTAGACAATTTTTCTTTTTTTTTATTCATATATCTAAAATGGACCAAAAAAATTGTATAAAATTACTATTATAATTGTAAAATTATAATAAAATTATATAATTATAATTTTTATAAAATGCCAGATAGTGCCTGTACAAAACATGTATAGGGTACTTTTTTGATAGGACGCACAGCATCCAAGCTACGATGGACCAAATGAATAAAAGATTGCGATATTTTCAAATTTTCGAGATAAACTCTCGTGAATAGTAGTAGATCCCCAGATAGTTCTATAAAAAAATATAAAGAATACTTTTTGATTAGACATACAGCATCCGAGCTACGATGGACCAAAAATTTCGAAATTTAAAATTTTCGAGATAAATTCTCAAGAATAGCATAATAGAAGAATTATCCCCCAACATTGCTCTACTAAAAATATATAAGGCACTCTTTGATAGCACGCACAGCATCCGAGCTACGATGGACCAAATGGACCAAAAATTTCGAAATTTAAAATTTTCGAGATAAATTCTCAAAAGTTCTGAACAGAAAATGTATGGCGCACTTTTTGATTGGTCCAGCGGATGCTGAGCTACACTCACTAAAACTGGGAAAAAAATTTCGAAAAATTAAATTTGCGAGATAATCGTTCCGGAATACCGCCAATAAAATAGGGAAAAAGTTTCGAACAAAAAATGTATGGCGCACTTCAAGATTGGTCCAGCGGATGCTGAGCTACACTCAAATAAATTTATGAAAAATTTTCGAAAAATTAAATTTTCGAGATAATCGTTCGGGAATACCGCCAAAGTCTTTAGCAAAAAGTAGCGAACAAAAAATGTATGGCACACTTTTTGATTGGTCCAGCGGATGCTGAGCTATACTAAAAAATAAATTTGGAAAAAATTTAGAAAAATTAAATTTGCGAGATAATCGTTCCGGAATACCGCCAATAAAATAGGGAAAAAGTTTCGAACAAAAAATGTATGGCGCACTTCAAGATTGGTCCAGCGGATGCTGAGCTACACTCAAATAAATTTATGAAAAATTTTCGAAAAATTAAATTTTCGAGATAATCGTTCGGGAATACCGCCAAAGTCTTTAGCAAAAAGTAGCGAACAAAAAATGTATGGCGCACTTTTTGATTGGTCCAGCGGATGCTGAGCTACACTCACTAAAACTGGGAAAAAAATTTCGAAAAATAAAATTTGCCAGATAATGACTCGGGAATAATGCCAATAAAATAGGGAAAAAGTTTCGAACAAAAAATGTATGGCGCACTTCAAGATTGGTCCAGCGGATGCTGAGCTACACTCAAATAAATTTATGAAAAATTTTCGAAAAATTAAATTTTCGAGATAATCGTTCGGGAATACCGCCAAAGTCTTTAGCAAAAAGTAGCGAACAAAAAATGTATGGCACACTTTTTGATTGGTCCAGCGGATGCTGAGCTATACTAAAAAAAAAATTTGGAAAAAATTTCGAAAAATTAAATTTGCCAGATAATGACTTGGGAATAATGCCAAAAAATTGAGCAAAAAGTCTCGAACAAAAAATGTATGGCGCACTTTTTGATTGGTCCAGCGGATGCTGAGCTACACTCACTAAAACTGGGAAAAAAATTTCGAAAAATAAAATTTGCCAGATAATGACTCGGGAATAATGCCAATAAAATAGGGAAAAAGTTTCGAACAAAAAATGTATGGCGCACTTCAAGATTGGTCCAGCGGATGCTGAGCTACACTCAAATAAATTTATGAAAAATTTTCGAAAAATTAAATTTTCGAGATAATCGTTCGGGAATATTGCCAAAGTCTTTAGCAAAAAGTAGCGAACAAAAAATGTATGGCACACTTTTTGATTGGTCCAGCGGATGCTGAGCTATACTAAAAAATAAATTTGGAAAAAATTTCGAAAAATTAAATTTGCGAGATAATCGTTCCGGAATACCGCCAATAAAATAGGGAAAAAGTTTCGAACAAAAAATGTATGGCGCACTTCAAGATTGGTCCAGCGGATGCTGAGCTACACTCAAATAAATTTATGAAAAATTTTCGAAAAATTAAATTTTCGAGATAATCGTTCGGGAATACCGCCAAAGTCTTTAGCAAAAAGTAGCGAACAAAAAATGTATGGCGCACTTTTTTAATGGTCCAGCGGATGCTGAGGTACACTAAAAAACATTTTGGAAAAATTGTTGAAAAAAAAAATTTTCCATATAATCGTTCGGGAATACCGCCAATATAGCATAATAGAAGAATTATCCCCAACATTGCTCTACTAAAAATATATAAGGCACTTTTTGATAGCACGCACTGCATCCGAGCTACAATGGACCAAATGGACGAAAAATTTCTAAATTTGAAATTTTCAAGACAAACTCTCGGGAATAGTAAGAGAGTTATTCCCAAATAGTGCTGCCGAAGAAAATGTATGGAACACTTTTTTTGATAGGACACACAGCATCCAAGCTAAAATGGACCAAAAAAATCTCAATTTTCGAAATAAAATCTCGGAATTAGTAGAAGAGTAATCCCGAGACAATAAATAAAAAAAAATAGTAAACGTAATAAAATAAAAAATAAATTGAAAAACGGTTAAGAAGAAAAAAATTAATAATCCAAAGAGCGAGAGAAAGAGAAAAGATCTGTCAGCTTTGGAAATTTTTTAATTTTTCATATTCTTGTAATCCACTTTCATCTTATGGAAATGTTGAAAATAATTTAAAAAGTATAGAGAAAGAAATTAATATATATATATAGGAAAAGAAGAATTGTTTTACTACTTGGAAAGATCCTGGCATTAAATCCGACAAGAAATTCACTCTCTTATATAGATTTATCTCGAGACAACCTTGCAAGGCTGTCGAGCGAACGGCATTTTGTTCTTTCGCAAGAAGAATACAAGACCTCGAGAGGGAGATGGAGAGAGAGAGAGAGAGAGAAAAAAAAAACTCAACCTCAAGATATACACACATAGGCATCACTATCGGTATAAATATTAGCTTTACATTCGCAAATAATCGACTAGCTTTACGGTTTTCTGTATTATTATCCCTGTATGAACTGTGAATATTTACATTCTTTGAGACTTCCTAGTTTATCTTGGTATATTTGAACAAAAACATTTTTCTTTCTTTTTCTTTCTTTTTTAATAACGCGAAAAAAATCGAACCTCGATTAATTAATGTTTTAAATTTTCTAAAATCTATTTCAATTTCAATTATTTATTAGAGAAAAAAATCTATAAAAAAAGATATAATAGATTTGAAGGAATACACTGGAACCTCGATAAATTGGACAATGCTTTTATTATTAATTTTAAGGCATTTGTTTTTATATTATTTTCTAGTTTCCAAATAAATTGAAATTTAAGTAGAATTTATTCAATAATAGACTGTTTTAAATTAAAGAGATTCTACTGTACAACTTTTGTTTCTTATCGAGGTTCCAGTGTGCAAGGAAAAGTTTTTTTTTAGTAACTGTATTTTAGTGTATATTTAAATTATTATAAAATTTGTTTTATTGTACAAAAATATCTTTCAGTAATAACCGAAAATCAGTTTAACGAGGTTCTACTGTAAACAAGAAACAAAAAAAAAAGGTTCTACTATAATAAAACCAAAAAAGTTCTACTGTTGAAAAAACAAAAAAAGGTTCTACTGTAAAAAAAAATAAAGAACGGTTCTACTGTAAAAAAAACAAAAAAGGTTCTACTGTAAAAAAGGAAAAAAGGTTCAACTGTAAAAAAAGATAAAGAACGGTTCTACTGTAAAAAAACCAAAAAGGTTCTACTGTTGAAAAAATAAAAAAAGGTTCTACTGTAAAAAAACCAAAAAGGTTCTACTGTAAAAAAAGATAAAGAACGGTTCTACTGTAAAAAAGGGAAAAAAACGGTTCTACTGTAAAAAACCAAAAAGGTTCTACTGTAAAAAAAGAAAAAGAACGGTTTTACTGTAAAAAAAACAAAAAAAAGTTCTACTGTAAAAAAGGAAAAAAAACGGTTCTACTGTAAAATAAACAAAAAAAGGTTTTACTGTAAAAAAAGAAAAAGAACGGTTTTACTGTAAAAAAACAAAAAAAGGTTCTACTGTAAAAAAGGAAAAAAAAACGGTTTTACTGTAAAAATAGAACGGTTTTACTGTAAAAAAAACAAAAAAGGCTCTACTGTTAAAAAAATAAAAAAAGGTTCTACTGTAAAAAAACCAAAAAAGTTCTACTGTTGAAAAAATAAAAAAAGGTTTTACTGTAAAAAAAACAAAAAAGGCTCTACTGTTAAAAAAATAAAAAAAGGTTCTACTGTAAAAAAACCAAAAAGGTTCTACTGTAAAAAAAAATAAAGAACGGTTCTACTGTAAAAAAACAAAAAAGGTTCTACTGTAAAAAAGAACTGTTCTACTGTAAAAAACCAAAAAGGTTCTACTGTAGAAAAAGATAAAGAACGATATTACGTTAAAAAAAAAAAGGTTCTACTGTAAAAAAGGAAAAAAAACGGTTCGACTGTAAAATAAACAAAAAAAAGGTTTTACTGTAAAAAAAGAACGGTTTTACTGTAAAAAAACAAAGAAGACTCTACTGTTGAAAAAATAAAAAAAGGTTCTACTGTAAAACAACAAAAAAAAAGATTTCACTATCTACGCTTAATTATTTTGAAAAAAAATAATGTGCAAATTACAGTCGAACCTTAAACAATTTTTAATTTTTAAAATTGATTTGATCATAATAAAAATGTATTATTTATTAAAATATTTCAAATTGATTGTTTTTTTTTTAAATTTTTTTGAACAATTATAATTTTTGTAATGATAAGTAATTTTCATTTTAATTTCGTATCTACTATATGATTGGTACTAATTTTTTTTTCCTTTTTTTTTGCATTGCACTTTGCGTTAATGACTTTTTTTCTTCTCGCGAGAACGCCTTATCAAAACGAAAATAATAAAAAATTGATGATCAAATTCAACCGTTACTATAAATTCAACCTTGAATTGACGGGAGTATAAAAGGCGTTAATACAATCTAATGTATATACATATATATATATATATATATATATATATATATATATATGAAACTTGCGTAATAACCTGCTAGATTTACATATATACTATATATATGTAGATTTTATACATGGAACGCACGAGGGGGTGATATAAAGTTATAAAAAGTAACCGATCAAGAAGTTAATTCACAGTTAATACTTTTGTACTTAAGTTGCATTGGACCAGTATGTTAATTTTTTGTTGGTACACTAATTCTTAAACAAAAAAAATTGTTACTTTTTTATATCAAATTTTTTTTTTTTCTTTTTGAAAATATAATAATTTTCAATTGTTATATCAAAATATTTTTTTTGAAAAAATAATAATAATTTTCACTTTTTATATCAAAATATTTTTTGAATAAAAAAAAAAAATGTTCTGCATTAGGCTCTTTTGAAAAATGTTTTTTTTTTAAAAAAGAAAGTTTCGCCCACATTATATATATATAGGAAAGAAATGTAAATTTACATTATACAAAAAAAAATCGCAAATTCCTTTTAACAATAACTTTTCGCTTGTATTTTTAAAGAAAAAAATATTTTACAACCCGGGATTATACTGCTTTGTATATAGAATAAAATTTATCGAAAAAAAAATTTTTTTTTTTAAATTATCGGTACATGTTCATAAATTTGGAGATATAATTCGCTATATATACTGCCTACTTCATGGGATGAATTAAAACCTTCTCATCCTCTTTACTCCCGAAAAGACTTGATTATAATTCGTATTTATGAATACGAATGATAATTCTTTCTATGTATGGTAAAAATTTTTCTTTAAAAAATATATTTAAAAAAAAGCATTTTAATACATTTATATTATATTTATTTACTTTATATTTTTTGTATTTTTATATTTTATATTTTTATATTTTTCTTTTATATTTTTATATTTATTTATATTAAAAATAAATAAATAAATTTTTGAAAGGAAAACAAAATTTATTTCTGATTGAACAAAAAATTTTTAAAGAATTATAAAAGAAAATTTAAAAAATTTTCTACATATAAAAAAAAATATAATAATTAATCAGCGCCACGAATGAATGATTGCTCATGTATTATTGATAAACTTGAAATGCAAATTAGATATCTCAGACTGACAGGTATGATATTTTTGTTACAGATTCCAACGAAGGAGATTGCCACTTTCCAGATGAATCAGAGACAACGGGTAAGTGTAAATTGCATACTCATTTTTATATTTAAATAATTTTATTATAATTTTGCCTTGCAAAAATACTTTTCTTTTTTAGGAACTTTTCTTTAATAATATTAAATATTTAATTTAATTAAATAATTTATTAATATTTTAATATTAATATTTATTAATAATGTACTAATATTTAATTTAATAATTGGTATTTTAATACTAATAATAATAAAATATAATTTAAAAAAATAATAATAAAAAATAGTTAATTTAATAAAATAAAAATAGTTGAAAAAAATATATATAAAAGGAAAGTTTCTTTTTATTTTCAATGAAGAAAACAAAAGATTAGAGAAGTAAATAATTCACGTGATCTGAGGTCAATAAAATCACGATTCTTTATAGAAAGGCACGTTCACCTCGCACACTATATAAAATATTGTCCATTGCCCTATATACGCACATGCATGCTAATCTTGAATTCTTGTCACGTTTTTGCTTTTCCGTATGAAGTCACATACCATAAATACTAACATAAGTTAGTTAAACGTTCAGTAAGTCGAAGTGGTTTTGTGGTCAGAGTACACGACTCGCGTCCCAAGGGTCCTGGGTTCGATTCCCCATGCGTAAAAAATTTTTTAAAATTATTCTCAAGTGATTTATGTACTTAATAATTAATAATTATTAAAATAATCAATAATTATTAAAATAATTAATAATTATTGATATAATAAATTCAATTAATTTTAATAATTAATTTAATAATTTTCAAAAAAAAAAAAATTAATTTTTGAATTTTTGATAAATTTATACTTTTATTAATTTTTATTTTATTTTTTTTTAATTGTATAATATTTATAAGAATGATATTATCTAGTAATGGTAATTTTTCATTTAATTTGTCGAATCATTAACTTCGCTGCATATATACTAACTTTAGAGAAATGTAGTTATCTGTTAAATACAATTTACATATAATTTCGCAATTTCATTTCTTAAGTTCACCCGTAATCATTTAATTCACATTATACATGTTTGTAATTTAATTAACTCTTAGTCACAAAATTTATGCTTTTGTTTACTCATTTATAATATAATTCATCGCGTTTTTTTTTTTTTTTCGAAAGTAATATGAAAACTTTCGAAAAAAATAATTTTATATTATCATCAAATTTATTTTACAAAAAAAAAGAAATTATAGGTATTAATTAATTTTAATAAAATTCGTTAATTAGTTTGCAATTAATTTTATTTATTTAGAATTCGAAATTTTTTTTTGAATCGAAATTAAAAAAAAATAATTTTTCAAATTTTATTCTACTTGCATTTTTTTTTTCGGTATATAATAGAGATCTAGTATACATACTGAAAAATGTAATAAAATCAACCACTGTAATTATTTGCGCATTGAATAAATTACTTTTTTCCTTATATCAATTACGTTTTTGTTACACAATTCTGTAATGTGAGTTGACGTTTAAATGGATCTATCGACTTTACATTTGGTTTCTATTTTTTTTCATTGCATTTATTAATATTTCGTTTTTAGGAATAATTTTCCGCTTTATTTGAATACTATACATAAATGATATGCTTTATATGTTTTACTTAGATTTTACTATCATTTTAGTTTTACTGTATTTTTTTTTTTATTTTTTTCTATTATTATACACTTTATATTTGCATATTTTTATTGTTTTACATTTATGTTTATTTTTCTAATCATTTTTACGTTATTTTTTTTTATTTCGTCTCTATTGTTTTACAAAAATTTACTAATTTTGCAATTTTTTTTTTTTTTAAATAAAAAAAGGAATTAAAATTGCAAAATTATTACAAAATTGTTTTCAAATCTGTTTGATATGAATAAAAATGAATTAAAATAACAAAATTGAAAAAAATAAATAAAAAATAGGAATAAAAATATTAAATATACTTTTAATATTCTCGGAAAGTTAAAATTTTATGACTAGTCTAATAAATTTGTTGCATCAAAAAAATAAATCACTATGTCTTTGCTCTATTATTCTGTCCCGTACAATCTCCACTCTCCTTCAGACTTTCGGTCTTATCTCTTTGCCCAACAACGCGCTTGCTGGTTCTCAAGTTGCTTAAAACTTTGTTCTGCATAATATTCTAAACTCATCTCTTCGTCCCGAATAAATCTCCATAAAGAAAAAGTTTCACAATAATTGTTTCGAGATTTTTTGTTTTTAGTTTTAAAATTTTGTAAAATGAAAACATTTTAAAAAATGTAATTACAAAAATCATTTTTTTTTTTTTTAAATTAAAATCATTTTTTCAATAGTTGTAATTATAATTTCTTTAAAACGGAGAAAAAAATTTATATAAAATTAAATTCCGTAATAATATTTATTGTTTTTGAAAAAAAAAATTAATTCATCCAATTGGAATGTTCCTTACGAATATAATATAAGTTTTAAACAAAAATAAACGCTTCCATCGAAAACAATTTTTTACGCATTTCATTCTGATTATATTTTTCCTTATAAGAATTTTTTTTTTTGAATTAAAAAAATTCGATCTAAAATTAAATCACACAAAAAAAGAGAAAAGAAATTTAATTTAAATTTACGAAAGGAAAAATATTTTTAAAATAAAATGCAATTAAAAAAATCTTCCTCTCAATTTGATAATAATTTTTTTTTGGGATATTTAAAATTTGTATATTGAGTAAAATAATGTTTTTTTGCATCAAGTATCCCAGATAATTTGATAACAAGTGATTTTCCAGAAAGTTACCTGCCGTTTCATGTGTAATAATTTTTTTTTCTTTTATATATGTTTTTTAATAAAATACAAATCGGTGTATACACCACGTTTATAAAAGATTACATAATTCTGACTGTATACGCATCAGGTATAGTGTCGACTCTCTGTGCAACGATGCATCGCGCGTCGGATGTACGCTATTTGCAATCACGAAACATATACCAAGAGCAATATATATATATATATATATATATGTTTATGGCAATATACCAAAAAGAGATAGGTTCCAATGAGAAAGAGAGATAGAGAGATGTCGAAGGATGAGAGGAAGGAGGTGAATATTCCGCGGATTCAACGATAATACACTCGCTGATTATAATATATAATAGCGCAAATGTTTCATAATAGAGGCTGATGTTATAGGAAACAAAAAAAAAATCCTCTCAAAAGAAGAATATTTATTTTATGGCAGAAAATCTATCTATTTATTTTTTAATTATTTTTTTTTTTGTTATTTTTTTACTTAATTATTTATTTGTTTATTTATTTGTTTACTTTTTTTATTATTTATTTACTTATTTATTTTTTTAATTATTTATTTGTTTGTTTATTTATTTACTTTTTAATTATTTATTTATTTGTTTTTCAAATGATTTATTTACTTATTTATTTATTTTTTAAATTGTTTATTTATTTGTTTATTTATTTATGTATTGATTTATTTGTTTTTTAAATGATTTATTTACTTATTTATTTATTTTTTAAATTATTCATTTATTTGTTTATTTATTTATGTATTTATTTATTTTCTAATTTATTTATTTCAATTATTTATTTTTTGATTATTTATATATTTGTTTTTTAAATTATTTATTTACTTAATTATTTGTTTATTTATTTATATAATTATTTATTTTCTTATTTATTTATTTATTTAATTATTTATTTGTTTTTTAAATTATTTATTTACTTATTTGTTTGTTTGTTTATTTATTTATGTATTTATTTATTTATTTGTTTTTTAAATGATTTATTTACTTATTTATTTATTTAATTAATTATTTATTTGTTTTTTAAATTATTTATTTACTTATTTGTTTGTTTGTTTATTTACTTTTTAATTATTTATTTATTTGTTTTTCAAATGATTTATTTACTTATTTATTTATTTTTTAAATTGTTTATTTATTTGTTTATTTATTTATGTATTTATTTATTTTCTAATTTATTTATTTCAATTATTTATTTTTTTGATTATTTATATATTTGTTTTTTAAATTAGTTATTTACTTAATTATTTGTTTATTTATTTATATAATTATTTATTTTCTTATTTATTTATTTATTTGTTTTTTAAATTATTTATTTACTTATTTGTTTGTTTGTTTATGTATTTACTTTTTAATTATTTATTTATTTGTTTTTCAAATGATTTATTTACTTATTTATTTTTTAAATTGTTTATTTATTTGTTTATTTATTTATGTATTTATTTATATATTTTTTTATTTATTTTTTTGATTATTTATATATTTGTTTTTTAAATTATTTATTTACTTATTTATTTGTTTGTTTATTTATTTACTTTTTAATTATTTATTTGTTTTTTAAATTAGTTATTTACTTAATTATTTGTTTATTTATTTATATAATTATTTATTTTCTTATTTATTTATTTGTTTTTTAAATTATTTATTTACTTATTTGTTTGTTTGTTTATTTATTTACTTTTTAATTATTTATTTATTTGTTTTTCAAATGATTTATTTACTTATTTATTTTTTAAATTGTTTATTTATTTGTTTATTTATTTATTTTTTAAATTGTTTATTTATTTGTTTATTTATTTATTTTTTAAATTGTTTATTTATTTGTTTATTTATTTATGTATTTATTTATATATTTTTTTATTTATTTTTTTGATTATTTATATATTTGTTTTTTAAATTATTTATTTACTTATTTATTTGTTTGTTTGTTTATTTATTTATTTTTTAATTATTTATTTGTTTTTTAAATTATTTATTTACTTATTTATTTGTTTATTTATTTATGTATTTATTTATTTTCTAATTTATTTATTTCAATTATTTTTTTTTGATTATTAATATATTTGTTTTTTAAATTATTTATTTACTTAATTATTTGTTTATTTATTTATATAATTATTTATTTTCTTATTTATTTATTTATTTAATTATTTATTTGTTTTTTAAATTATTTATTTACTTATTTATTTTTTTGTTTATTTATTTATATAATTATTAATTTATTTTTTTATTTACTTTTTTTAATTAGGTATTTATTTACTTTTTTTTAAAATTATTTATTTATTTATTTCACAAATAGACGGGCTTACAAAAAAAAAAGAAAAAAATTTATTTATTAATTTATTACTAAGAGAACATTTACCTGTTAAATATATATAGTATAAAAAAAATCGCATTAGATGATTAATAAAAATTTGTTTCTTCATATTAAACAGTCTTTTTTTCTGTATAGAAAATGTTTTTCTTTCGAAAAAAAAAGAAAAAAAAATTGGTCGATATTGAGATATTGTTATTTTTTAACAGACTAATTATCTATACTTTGTTCAGTCATCGATTATACAAGTTACGTAAATCACGTGCAGCCGTTGATCTCAATGTACGATAACGGTGATACTTTTATGAGAGAAAAAAAAAAGACGTCGGCAGTTAATTTAAAAAACATATTATGTGAGACGAATCTCTTTCAATATTGAGATAGTATATGTATCTTTAAAAACTATGACGCCCATTTTTATATTTTTTTTTCACAATTCAAAAAAAAAAATAAAAAAAAAAATAAATTCTCCGATTCTTATGTCACAATTAGTATATTAAAATAATATCTTTAAATTACGGTCCATTTATGTTAATTTTTAATTTGTTATCCGTCTTTTTTTTTTGTAAATGACATTTTTTTGTTATTCAAAAAAAAAAAAAATAAAAAAAATTTGAATTTATTTAAATTTTTTCTAAATTACAAGAAAATAATTTTTCTTACCTATTTTTTTTTTATTTATAAATAATTAATTTATTATTCTTAAAATTATTATAATTTTAATTATTTTTTATTTGCGCTTGTTTTTTAAATAAATAAAAAATTAAAATGATAAAATTAGTAATTTTGCAGTTAGTCGAAATTTTTTTATTGTTTTTTTTGTTTGTTGTGAATTTAGTTAAAAAAAACGTGCGGCAATTGTTTAAAGATGAAAACAAATCTAAATTACGAAAATAACATTTACAAATAATGTTTGCAAACATTAGCATTTTCCCGCAATGAAACAGAAAGAAAATAAACAATGGAAATTTGAGTCATCATTTGTATTTAGACGCGATATTACCTGATCTGATAAGAATGAGTACATCTTATCAAATATAAATATCTATCAATTATTTGTTAAATATACTTAAATACTTGATTACTACCTATATATTATTAAAAAATTGTAATTATTTAATTGCTTAAAGACTGTAAAAAAAATTAAAATGTTATAACTATTTTTTGAGATTATTTTTAATAAAATTTATTTTATTATTAAATTATTATTAAAATCTGTTATTAAATTATAATATTAATAATTAATGCAATAATGATATTATATAATATTATAATTAATTATTTAATTTAAAAATTAATTTAAGGACAAAAAAAAATTTCTAAAGAGATATTTTTAAAAAATGTTTTTTTATAATAAGCATACGTTTGTTAATTTAAAAAAAAAGCAAATGTCAAAACAGGAAAAGTATTTGTTAAAAGATAATGAACTGATGAAAAAATATTTACAATTAAATATATATAAATAAATGACTAAATTGTGACATAACATTTAAGAAGTTCAAATGTAAATTAATTACTTAATTAGATATAAAAAAAAATTCTAATATTATTTAATTGCTTCCTCATGGAAGCATTTTATAAAAATTAAATTAAATTTTCTAATTTATTTTTTAAAAAAATGGTCATTTTCTTTCAAGGACGTCAATATATTCGTCAATATATATTCCAGGAAGTAAAAGTGTTTCTAATTAATTGTGTTTTTTTTTTTTGTTTCATATGATGACGTGTGATGAAAATTTGTTATCAGACAAAAATCTTAATTAGAATATCGTCACTTGAGTCAAGGTTTTGTGATGTCATTTTTATTCCGTGGAGCCGAAAATTTATGCTAATTGCGCACGAGCCATCCACGAGATTTATGCGCGGAAAGATTTTAATTATTATTATTTCCCCCCCCCCCCTAAAATCTACATTTATTACACGTGCAGAAAATTTATTAAAAAAATAATATACAGAATTTAAAACACTTGAGAATAATTTTGAAAAAATTTCTTAGGCATGGGGAATCGAACCCAGGACCCTTTGGACGCGAGACATGTACTTTGACCACGCAGCCACTTTTGTCTTAATAAAATAACTAGAATATTTTTTTTATTTTTTACATTTTCGTGAAATAAAAGATTAAAAAACAATTTTTTAAAATCGATTATTAATTCCATTTTATTGTTACAAGAATTAAATTAAATTAATTAATTTAACTTATAATGATAATTTTATTCTAATATATAATTTAATCAATTTTGTTTTTAGTAGGAATTGGAGTGAAAATTTCTCGATAAAATTAATTAAATATTATTGATTGCCCAATATTGTTAATGGATAATTGGAAAATTCTTTGAAATAATTTTCAATTAAATAGTGGTCTTGAGTTTACAATAAATATATGAGGAAAAGTGAATTTTTTTTTTAATGTCAACAATAAATTTACTTATAGGCAATTATTGTCTATACAAATAATCTAACGGTTGACAATATAAAAAATAAATTACAATTCTCAGTAGACATTTATCATTCTTTTAAAAAATTCTTCCACTTTTATAGAATTATATAGCATAATTATTTTACTTTTGTTCTTGAAATTTATCATTAATGAATTTAATTTTAATTTCTGATTTTTTTAATTGCAAATAAGAAAATCTTATTTGATTTATTTATACATTCTATTGTTTATTTATAGTCTTATGTTTTATTAGATTTTTTTTCTTTCAATCGTTTCAATGATCTATTTATATTTTTTTATATATTTATTACTAATAATAAAATATTAATGTTAATTAAATTATTTAATTTATTAATTATTATTAAATTATTAATAATAATAAATAATAAATTTTTATATATTTTTTTTAATGTTTTAAATATTAAAAAAAAAAGAATTTTATATAAAAAAATTAATTATTTAAATAATATTGGGATTCATACCTGGAGAGTGGATCCACGAAGAGAGCGACAATCATAACGGCAACCAAAACACAAGATAAATAAATTGCTGAGATTTCATAAATCTCAGAATCTTGTGGTCGATCCAAACTCTCGTGTCCACCATTTGCATGAACACAGAAATCAGCTCCACATAATTTCACTTTAGCATTGTCACTACTGACAGAGTTATTACTACCTCCAAATTCATCTCCACTTAACACTGAAAACAAAAAGAAAAATTTCATTTTAGAAATTTGAATTTTTTTTCATATTAATTTTATTTTTTTTTAATTTATTTATAATTAAAATCTCTAAAAATTATTTATGAATATAAAATAATTTTATTTTTTATAAATTAATTTTTTTTTTATTTACAATTGAATTTTAATAAAATAAAAAATATAGTAATTTAATTTGACTTGAAAATAGAAATAATTTTTAAGTATTTTAATTTTTTCGATTTTTATAAGTTTCGCGCGAGACTTTCACTAAACTATCGAGAGTTGACACATATATTATATGAATATTTCACATATTTCTAGACACTTTCTTACATTTTCATCACCTTTTTTTTTTACTTCATTTTTTTTTCTTCTTTTTAAAACATTTCCTTTTCAACGAAATCATAAAAGTCAAGGTTCTCGAGCCAATTATTGTCATGTGAATAAAAGAAAATTAAAAAAAAAAAATTTGAAAAATAAACTTACATAATAATGGAATAATTGGATTACATTTAAAGAAAAAAAATTTCTATACCATTTTATCAATTTCTTTTTGAAAAAAATATGGTATCATTTTCTCGTGAAAAGAATCCAATTTTCATATCTTTTTCGCGGGTGTAAAACGATAATAAAAAAAATATATATAAATTCAAATTGGGTGATATAATTCGCAATTTATATTATATAAATTGGCAAATTCCAAATAAGGTGTGGGTTTTCCATTTGAGGCGTATATAGAAGGTTTGTGACCTTCGTTTAATGCTCCGAGGAACGTCATTCGCTTATTGCTGATCGACCTCGACAAGGACTCGATACAATCTTGACCTTTACCGAGCACCCCCCCACCCACGTCGTTTTTGCTTGCGCCACCTGATTCCAGATATACAAATAATTGCCCAGTCGATATATTTATATATGTAAAAAATTGATTTCCAATTAATTTTGAATTTTATTTATTTTTTAAATAATACTAACAAATAATAACAACAGAAAACAAAATATTAAAATTTAAAAAAAAAACCAATTAATTACAAATTAAATAATTACCTTATTAACAAATTTGATAATTAGCTAATTAACAAATTTATTAATTACCAAATTGATTAAAAAATCGGTTAATCAATAAATTATTTAATTGATAATTAATTAATAATTAACAAATTAATTTATTACCTGATTAACCAATTAGTTATTCAAGTAATTAATTATTTACCTGATTAACAAATTATTTGTTAAGGTAATTAATTATTAATCTAATTAGCAAATTAATTAGTTACCTGATTAACAAATTAGTTATTTAAGTAATTAATTATTTACCTGATTAACAAATTATTTGTTTAGGTAATTAATTATTAATCTAATTAGCAAATTAATTAGTTACCTGATTAACAAATTAGTATCTTAGGTAATTAATTAGTTATCTAATTAACAAATTAATTAGTTACCTGATTAACCAATTAATTATTTAGGTAATAAATTAGTTACCTGATTAACAAATTAGTTAGTTAGGTAATTAATTAGTTATCTAATTAACAAATTAATTAGTTACCTGATTAACCAATTAATTATTTAGGTAAAAAATTAGTTACCTGATTAACCAATTAGTTATTTAAGTAATTAATTATTTACCTGATTAACAAATTATTTGTTTAGGTAATTAATTATTAATCTAATTAGCAAATTTATTAGTTACCTGATTAAGAAATTAATTATTTAGGTAATTAATTACTTACCTGATTAACAAATTAGTTAGTTAGGTAATTAATTAGTTACCTGATTAACAAATTAGTTATTTAAGTAATTAATTATTTACCTGATTAACAAATTATTTGTTTAGGTAATTAATTATTAATCTAATTAGCAAATTAATTAGTTACCTGATTAACAAATTAGTATGTTAGGTAATTAATTAGTTATATAATTAACAAATTAATTAGTTACATGATTTACCAATTAATTATTTAGGTAATTAATTAGTTACCTGATTAACAAATTAGTTAGTTAGGTAATTAATTAGTTATCTAATTAACAAATTAATAAGTTACCTGATTAACAAATTAGTTATTTAAGTAATTAATTATTTACCTGATTAACAAATTATTTGTTTAGGTAATTAATTATTAATCTAATTAGCAAATTAATTAGTTACCTGATTAACAAATTAGTATGTTAGGTAATTAATTAGTTATATAATTAACAAATTAATTAGTTACCTGATTTACCAATTAATTATTTAGGTAATTAATTAGTTACCTGATTAACAAATTAGTTAGTTAGGTAATTATTTAGTTATCTAATTAACAAATTAATTAGTTACCTGATTAAAAAATTAATCATTCAGATAATTAAGAAATTAATTTGTTTTCTAATTAATAAATAATTTTTATCTCGTAATTAACAAATTGTTCCCCTAATTTATTGCCAACTAATTAACAAACATATTAATTATTATATCAAATAGTTACTCAAATATCAAATTAATTCTTTACTAAATAAACAAATTATTTAATGCTCCATTTAATTATTTAATTTATCACCTAATTAACAAATTAATTTATTTATTAATTGCCTAATTAACAAATTACTTACTTAATTAATTACCTAATTAACAACTGGATTTTTTAATTAATTACCTAATTAATAAATAAATTATTTAATTAATTAGTTATTATTTAGTTAATTATTATTAATTAATTTGTATTCACTAATTATTATTAATTAATTAATTAATGTTTATATATATAATGTAAAGGAAGTAATTATGGAAAATAAAAAAAAAAATTTAGAGAAAGAAAGAAAGTTAAATTAAATCAAAAGTCGAACGTTTGTGGAATCCGTTTTATATTATCAGAGCGGGGAATGCGCGAGGTGGTACGAAAAAGTGACTAGCGTGGGTTTATACCGGATAAATCTCGTTTCTTGATGTGCCTGAGGCACTCTTTCAATCTCCAAGTCCAAGAGTCCTCTTTTCTTCCCCCCCGCTAATTTTATATCACACTTGTCGTCCTTCTCTCTTTTTCTCGCACGTACTGTGACACACTGTCTTCAGATTCGTTTCGTTCTAATTCAGGAAATAATATCAGTATATATATATATATATATATATATATTATAAAAAAAATTATTCGATAATTTTTTTTTACATTACAAATTTGCCCTACACACTACAATGAAGATGAGAAAAAAAAAACATAAATAACTTCGACTGCCGGTGAATCTAAGTAGAGCATAGGGATTTAACGTCAGACGATGTCTGACTATAGGCCAATCTCTTCCACTGAAACGTTAGACTCCCAATAATCTAAGCTCTATCACTGTTTTTCTTTCACTGCGATATGATGATCAAGACATAAATATATTTTTTTTTTTTCAATGTTTCTCCTTTATTCTGAAGGTAATCGAGCTACAAGGATAACATGTATATTCTCTCCCCCCCCCCTTTCTTCTTTTTTAGAACAAAATTTTTATTTTTTTAAATAAAAAATTATTTTTCTTATTAAATCATCTGCTTTCTAAATTTGAATTAGTTGAAAATAACGTCTTTAATTTGACATTGAACAAAATTTATTTGGTATGGAAATATTATTATTTAGAATATAAATAATAAAATTAAAATAAAATTAATTAATTAGTATAATTAATTAAAGAAAAATTAATCAAATTAAAATTTATTTTTATGAACGTAATAAACTGGAAATTTCAATAATTCTTTCACTTTATAAGATTATTTACAACCTTTGGTCCTTGACGCGTGAAATAGCAGAGTGGCTTCCCTACTGGATTTGCAACACCAAGGACCGGGGTTCGATTCCTCATAACTGTGGATTTTTTCTCATTCAGATTTTCAATTTTCAGAGATTCATTATTTCAAAATAAAGAATAATTGTAAATAATTAATAATAGTAATGTTTAATTCTAGTATCTTGATTATTATACAGGTGATTTCATTGTTTAAAAAATAATTGTCTTTATGAACTTAGATTTGTTTCAACAAACAAAATAAACGAACGGACAGAAAATACAAAGAGAAAAAGACAGAAAAAACTAACAGACAGACAAAGTAAAATAAAAAAAAAGAAAAAGAAGAGAAAAATAAATTTAAAAAAAAAATAAAACTTACCAAGAGACGATACAAGATTTCCCCAAAGTTCCGCCGTTTGCCATGCGAGAAAGAAAAATCCAAAGAATCTAACAACAATAGCGTCGGCAGGTTGATCGGTGAGTTTTGCATAAACACCACCAACTTGCGTGAGGTAGGTCGCTTTTGCCGCCCACATTGGTGCGGCGCCAAGGCCCAATAAAACACCAGCCGGTACAAGTGTATAAAAACGTGGATAAAATTGTGAGCCAATATATGGCGCATAACACAACATTGACACGCACAATGTCCATTTGACGGTCAATCTTTTAATCACAAATGTTGGTATAAAAATACAAGAGAGCACAAGTGCAGCATAAATTGCTGACAATGATACTGTACCGAGGCCTTCTTTAGCATTAATTGACGATTGTAAATTTGCCGTACCTTGAAATGCAGTGAATTGTACCATAAATGCTATTGACACTGTACCAATATTTTTGAGAATACGCCATTTTTCACTGCGCGACAATTTAAATTTACGCGATTGTGTATCATCATCACTCGCGGGTAATTGTGGTGGTTTTCTTGGTTCTGGTGGTATACCGTCCGTACCATCGTCCTTGTAACCATCATTTCTATAGCCAACGCCACTCACAGATACCGTAAACACTGTGGTATTTTTTTCACCACCGCCACCACCACCGCCGCCGCCCCCATCTCCATCACCGCCACCGACACTTCTTTCGCTGTCATTTTGTGTTGTCGTCACCATTGTACGAGTCGGCTACCTGCAATCACATATAATTTTTTCTTATTATTATTTTTTTTAAATTCATTATTAAATTGATTCATTTCAATTAAATCTTTATCTATGGATATTGAATTTGAAAATTTTTTGCGGTTACCTCACAAAAGGTTACCATGGCAACGATAACCATGGCAACCAGTACAATAGCAACGGTTACCATAGCAACCGTTACCATAACAACTGTTTCCATGACAACCGGTACCATACCAATCGGTGCCATAGTAACCGGTACCAATATAACTGGTACTACAGTAGCTGGTACCAAAGTAACTGGTACCATACTAACTGGTACCACAGTAACTGGTACCATAGTAACTGGTACCATAGTAACTAGTACCATAGTAACTAAATGGTACCGAAGTAACTAAATAGTACCAAAGTTAGTGATACCATAGTAACCGGTACCATAGTAACCGGTACCAAAGTAACCAGTACCATAGTAACTAAATGGTACCAAAGTAACTGGTACCAAAGTTGGTAGTACCATAGTAACCGGTACCAAAGTTAGTAGTACCAAAGTAACTTGTACCATAGTAACTAAATGGTACCAAAGTAACTGGTACCGAAGTAACTGGTACCAAAGTAACTGGTACCATAGTAACTGGTACCAAAGTAACCAGTACCATAGTAACTAAATGGTACCAAAGTAACTGGTACCAAAGTTGGTAGTACCATAGTAACCGGTACCAAAGTTAGTAGTACCAAAGTAACTTGTACCATAGTAACTAAATGGTACCAAAGTAACTGGTACCGAAGTAACTGGTACCAAAGTAACTGGTACCATAGTAACTGGTACCAAAGTAACCAGTACCATAGTAACTAAATGGTACCAAAGTAACTGGTACCAAAGTTGGTAGTACCATAGTAACCGGTACCAAAGTTAGTAGTACCAAAGTAACTTGTACCATAGTAACTAAATTGTACCAAAGTTAGTGGTACCAAAGTTAGTCTTACCAAAGTAACTGGTACCAAAGTTAGTAGTACCATAGTAACTTGTACCATAGTAACAAAATGGTACCAAAGTAACTGGTACCATAGTAACTAAATGGTACCAAAGTAACTGGTACCAAAGTTAGTAGTACCATAGTAACCGGTACCAAAGTTAGTAGTACCAAAGTAACTTGTACCATAGTAACTAAATGGTACCAAAGTAACTGGTACCAAAGTAACTGGTACCACAGTAACTAATTGGCACCAAAGTAACTAGTACCACAGTAACTAATTGGCACCAAAGTAACTGGTACCAAAGTAACTAGTACCACAGTAACTAATTGTATACTAATTGTACCAAAGTAACTGGTACCAAAGTAACTGGTACCAAAGTAACTGGTACCAAAGTAACTGGTACCAAAGTAACTGGTACCAAAGTAACTTGTACTAAAGTAACTGGTACCAAAGTAACTGGTACCAAAGTAACTGGTACCAAAGTAACTGGTACCAAAGTAACTGGTACCAAAGTTAGTAGTACCATAGTAACCGGTACCAAAGTTAATAGTACCTCAGTAACTTGTACCAAAGTAACTGGTACCAAAGTAACTGGTACCAAAGTAACTGGTACCAAAGTAACTGGTACCAAAGTAACTGGTACCAAAGTAACTGGTACCAAAGTAACTGGTACCAAAGTAACTGGTACCAAAGTAACTGGTACCAAAGTTAGTGGTACCAAAGTAACTGGTACCAAAGTTAGTGGTACCAAATTAACTGGTACCAAAGTTAGTGGTACCAAATTAACTGGTACGAAAGTTAGTGGTACCAAATTAACTGGTACCAAAATTTTGTGGTACCAAAGTAACTGCTACCATAGCAACTTAATGGTACCAAAGTTAATGTTACCATAGTAACCTGTATCATGTTAACCAGTAGCATAGCAACTGTTGCTATGGCAACGAATAAATATTTGTTGAAATAATTTTTATTTAATAAAAAACAATTTTTTATATAAATTTTACATATAATTAAAATAAAATAATTAATAAAAAAATTATTGATTAACTATGAAACAAATATAAAAATTCAATTGGTTTTTTATTTAAAAGTTGAAAAAAAAATTTTCTTTAAATATAATTGAAAATTACAGAAATATTTAAAACATTGATAAGAGGATAAATATATTTTTTTTTTAAAAAAAAAAAGAAGAAATCTACATAAAATTTGATTATGAAAAAATACGTCAATTTTTTTTTATCGGTCACGTATCGTAACGTCAATAGAATTGTAGTAATTCTTTATGTTGAGATTTTTTTTTAACTTATTTGCAGAGCACGTGAATATTAATAATCATTTTTTTTAAAAAAGTAAATATTATTGTATGACGTTTTGGAATATAAATTTTGTATATCTTTTTTTTAAAGAGAATATAAATTAGTTTAGAAATAATTGATTTCTTTTAGTAATTAGATGATTAATAAATAATTAATAACTATTAATAGAATAGAAATTAATTAATAATAAATAATTAGGTTAATTAATTAATTAATAATTAATATACAATTTTTTGTTTAAATACAATGAAAAGTGTTTTTATTTTTGAACAACCAAGGTTTATTAAACACACTGTATATTTCGATGCAATGCATTATTCGAGAGTGTAATCAAGGAACTAACTTGTGCAAAAGCGAGCCAAATCAAAACAATGGCCACTCATACGTGAGTTATACACTAAAATATGTATTCAATAATTGCTATGCCTAATTTTCATTAACCAACATTGAAGTAACATTAAAATTTATTATTTTCAAAAGTAATTAAATGAAATATTAAATAAAATTAAATAAAATTAAATAAACTTAAATAAACTTAAATAAAATTAAATAAACTTAATTAAAATTAAATAAAATAAATAAAAAAATTAAAAGTAAAATATAAAATTTTAATTATGGTTAATTATTTTTTTTTATAATAATTTAATTTTTTTTAAACCGATAAATTTCCAGCAAAATATATACTGTAAATAAAATTGACAGATTCAATTGAGTATAGCAAAAAAAAAAAAAAATTCCATTTGCGATGTGTTTCTTTTTTAAAAAATCAATCACAGGACACAAAAGGTTTCTTGGCACTTTTAAAAAGCTTTTGATAATTACAAATGTTTGTATACATATATATATATAGCGAAAAACGTAATTTCACAAGTCAATTTTGAAGAAAACAATTTTCCACGCCTATAAAAAAAAATATTATTTTCTTTTGACAAGGCAAAAAAAACTGACATCTCATTTCATAGTACGATAAACTGTTTTTTTTTTCTTCTTCTTCTTCCTCTTCATTATATAAAATAAAAGACAAATTGTTTTTCGCGCAGTATAGGTCATTGAAAAATAAATTGGCCAATAAATTTTACTCTCGATTTTGTTCGATGCTAAAAAGAACACTGAGAAGCAAATTTATTGTTAATAAGTCTTTCAAAGTTTCAATATTGTCCTTTTTTTTAGTTGCCTTTATCAGAGAATAATTAATTCAATTTTTTTTATGGTCTCAAGAAAAATAGAACAATATTATATTATTATTATTATATTTATTTATATTATTATTATTTTATTTATATAATTATTATATTTATTTATTTTATTTATTTTATTTATTCATTTCTATTTAAGATAAAACACTTAAAAATAATTTGGAAAAATTTCAAAGCTTTGGGAATCGAACCCAGGACCCTTGGGACGCGAGCCATGTACTCTGACCACACAGCTATGTTCATATGTTATCATAACACAACCTTTTTAAATATTCTGACTGTATTATCTTCTGTTTATGATAAGAAAAAACAAAATTTTAGTTTAAAAAACATTTTTCTGTAGTAAATATTTTTTTTTCTAAATTTCCGTTTAGAATTTATATAGTAAATACAAATAATTGTTGAAAATGTTGCACACGGTATTGATTTATTGTGAAATTGTCCGCTAATGTTATATATATATGTATGGAAAGGACTCTCTTCCTCGTTGCAAATATTTTCAATTTGAATTCGCTCTGAACTCACGTACAATTCATTGGATGCTTGTAAATCCATTTTGTCAACGTTGTAATCGATGCAAGTGCGTGACACTCCCACTTAGTCACGATAAAGTCATGTCAAATCGTGTCCAGAATAAGTAATTGTATATATATATATATATATATATATATATATATATATAGTCTCTAGTTATTTGATTCTCTCTCAAACTGTATATATATATATATAAACATTTATTTTGATTGAACCTCGTTTTCAATTAAATCGCGTTTCTATTCACGAGCCACTTTAACCACGTGCAAACGTGCCACGAGACTATTAATTGGTGAAAATTATTTTTAAATCTCAAGTGCCAAAGAAAAGTGCGGTGAAAACTTGAAAAAAGTCTATATTATATTTATTGCAATCCATTAGAAACAAAAATCACAATAATTGTCACTTTTTTCTTGGACATTAATTAAAAATTTATTTTTATTTAAATAAAAAAAAAAATGTTACTATTGAATTAGTAATAAAATTTTTTATTTAAATAAATAAAATAATAAATAAATTATTTTTAAATAAATTTTTTATTTAAATAAATAAATAAATAAATTATGTAAATTAAATTAAAAAGTAGAAAAGGCTGGGGAGTGATTAATTAATAGTCCTAGAGACGAATAAAAACTATATTATTAATTTAATATTAATTATTAAAAAATAAATAAATAAATTATTAAAAAAAAATTTTTAATAATAAAATAGTAATTACTATTTATTTATTTATTATTGTTATTATTATTGGAAGAGGAAATTTTTTTAAATAATTAAAAAAATAAATAAACTAAAAATATTATGTATTTTTTAAAATAAAATCAGTAGCGCTCATTAGGTAAATGATTTAAATATTGCAAATTTCACTTTATAGAAGATTGAAATAAGACGTTAGGAATGGAATTTCACATTATTATTTTATAAACAACAACTGTGTCAATTTTCGTAAATTGATATTAAACATTTATGGTAAATTGAGTGCAAACTTT